TCCCTACATACTTTCTGACTAATTTATCAGAGAATAGTTCAGCTATATAGCACCACATGACATGCAGTTACACACAACACAACCATACAATACGCTGGATGGGATAGGATGACAGTTTTAAAATCTAATCTAATGGCATGGTGGAGGGAGAGATTGATAACAACGGAAGCTTTGTTTATCGAATCAACTGAAGAGAATACGTGTAATAGGAATGATTCGACATCTGTCCATCCACATATCCGGAAAATGCTACTACCGCAACAACGACAAATAGGAGAAGACAAAGACAACTATACAGTTCAATTTTCGAGGTCGTGTGATTATAGTTGATGGAATGATTATGAAGGGTAATAAATAGTGTTCGAAACCTTGTCATCCAGTAAATAATAATAATAATACTGTTTCACTGACTGTGTGATACATCTAGTAAACAAACTAATATGGTACGAGTTGGGAGTTTGACAGGGACATAGAGGAGAACGTATGCCAAGGAGGAATCAACTAAACAGGACTATAGAGAATGAAGGAGAAGGATGAAATGTAAATGTACTTCTGAAGCTCAGTGTTACACTCCGAACCGAAAGGAATAACAATTCTAACAACCGATCGATTGAGTAGTTGGACACTATTCAAATTAACCAGTAGTATTTACTACCCAGTCACACAGAGAAGTAACATAAACACCGAGTAGCCAGTTCTCTTGTTTGGGTTAACCTTATCAACTGTGTACTCGGTATGACTTAGCTGAAAATTTGAAACATAAGATTTCTGACTATCTACTTTGGCGAACTGGTAATACGTTGATAGGAAAATTCAAGATCTGCTGACTATATATAATTCCAGGTAAAACCTCACCACAGTTTCTTTTAAGAATCGAGGTTATTCAGATCATAACATGTGTGATGGTTGGAAGCGATCGGCCACAGGAAGTCTTGGACACCATTCAGGTTTCCTTCTAGTTGGCTGACACTCACTACCAGTCAATAAGGTGTATCCGCAACTGCCTTGAAGAAAATCATAACCCTTGTGAAATTTGAATCCGTGTCAACTAGTGAGTGCTGCAGTCGGTCAGAAATGTTACCACTGAGAGCTATCCAGGCCCGAAATTGACCTCCTGTACAGCTGACTGTATCGAATACTTTTAATTGGACACTAGTGGGTAACTAGTGTAGTGTTTTCGGTGCAGATTGAATTCTGTCAGTCAGGTTTGCAATGTGGCCACCACACACCACTGGGTGGCTAACCATCACGGTGTACTGTGAATTGTTGGTATTAGATGGTTAAAGGTATTCGGCAACAGGAAGCCTTACACTTAGATGCACTAAGACTAGATACATTACACCGGTCACAGACTAGTATCCAATCAAAAGCAAACGTAAAATTACCTTTTTTTTCCCTTCACATTCCCCAATGGAACATAGGGCGGCTTCAAGCAAGTTGCTTGAAGTTTCTGTAGCAGTGGTGTTTATTTAACAGGATGGGATTGCTAACCTCAAGCCTAACCTTTCCTCTTCACCAGCATTATTTCTGGCTTAGCGAGGTAAAGGAGTACGTCGGCCGGAAATCGAACCCCGACTTGAATCGAACCTACTCACCAACGTTCCATGCACCACATGCGTTCTACGTTACATGCATATTATTAGTTGATTTGAGTATTAAGCACATTAACCCGTAGTACTCAATGTAACACTGATATTCAGAAACAATTGAGGAAAATTTGTATACAATTGGTGGATGGTGGCTAGCAGTGGAATCCAGGATGAAGCTCATTTCGTCCTATTTGGGACTCGTCATCTGGATGTATCTGCATTTCTCAGTGAGCGATGATGTTCCCACTGAGGCTCTCGTGGCCCATGTGGTCTAGTGGATAACGCTTTGGCGTTTGAAACTATGGGTACTGGGTTCGAGCCTCGGTGGGAACATCTTCACTCACTGAGAAATGCAGGTACATCCAGCTGACGAGTCCCAAATAGGACGAAATGCGCTTCATCCTGGATTCCACTGCTAGCCACCATCCACCAATTGTATACAAATCAAATCCCCAGACATCGTCGAAGCATCTGCACAAGAAGTCGACATGTCAACCTGAGACCGAGCACGTCGTTCCAATCAATCGACGGGAAAATCAAAAATTCAATTCAATAATTGAGGAAAATGTTTGATTGGTTCGAAGGCTTCATCATAAGCTGACACAAGTTAGAGAACCATTGGGAAACCACCACTGGAGTACTCGACAGTTGTTTCGCCAGGCTAGTTTGGTGCTCTTCAATAGTGCGCATCCTCCGAGGCTCGAATACAAAACCTTCTGATTCTATGGCGAGTGAGCGAGCTCGCAGACCATTAAGCCACTCACTGAGACCCTCCAATTCAAAAGCCAGTCAGTGCATAAATTCTAACTTCTCCCAAATCACGTAAGACAGATCGACCATTAGCTAATGTCATCTTCGATGATAAGCTACTGCCTCACCTTCAACTTGCTGTACCCTACTGGTCACGGCTACCCACTAGAACCTATCCAGGTAACTAAATGCCTGAATAGGGCCAGTCGCTAGTGAGCATGAGATTAATTTTCAACTATTGGTTTCTTCTGTAGGAATTTTTGTTTGACTGGTTGGAGGATTTCATCATGAGCTTATATCAGTTAGAGAACCATTGGAAAAACTGCAAGGAGTACTGGACAGCCAGCTGTCACGTCAGCCTAGTTTGGGACTGTTCATCAGTACGATCCACACCCCACTGACAAGGTTCGAACCCAGAACCTTCTGGTTACAAGGTGAGAGAGCTAGCTCGTAGATCATTCAGCCACTGGGGCCTGATCCGATGAAGAGTCTTAAGCTAGGACGAAACATCTGTCCAGTACTTCCTGCAGGTTTTCCAATGGTTCTCAAACTGATTTCAGCTCATGATGAAATCCTCCAACCAGTCAAACAAAAATTCCTACAGAAGAAACCAATAGTTGAAAATTAATCTCATGCACACTAGCGACTGGCCCTATTCAGGCATTTAGTTACCTGGATAGGTTCTAGTGGGTAGCCGTGACCAGTAGGGTACAGCAAGTTGAAAACCTGCAGGAAGTACTGGACAGATGTTTCGTCCTAGCTTAAGACTCTTCATCGGATCAGGCCCCAGTGGCTGAATGGTCTACGAGCTAGCTCTCTCACCTTGTAACCAGAAGGTTCTGGGTTCGAACCTTGTCAGTGGGGTGTGGACGCGTACTGATGAACAGTCCCAAACTAGGCTGACGTGACAGCTGGCTGTCCAGTACTCCTTGTAGTTTTTCCAATGGTTCTCTAACTGATATAAGCTCATGATGAAATCCTCCAACCAAGCAAACAAACTTCCCTACAAACAAATCAATACTTGAAAATTTTTTAGCATTTTAGTTGACGTGTTATTTACAGCGAAATTTCAGTTACAACATTAATATAGTTCACTGGGATGTCATCACATTCAACTAACACATATCAGCATTAGCCTATCATTAAAGAAACGGCGACAAGTTTGAAATCAAAGACATCTATGGGGAATCCATTCACAAGGAGGTCATCAATTAGAAATTACAAGTATAGATGAGTAATAATCACAATAATAAATATTTCAGAAGTGATTTCAATATCTGCTCTCTCTCTCTTACTTTCGATAAATGAAACCAAAAGTTCAAAGAAACCAAACATTATTTATACCAAAAAAAAAGAAACTCTACATGAACCTTGAATTCAAGAGAGACTGAGCTGGCCATGTCTTCAAGAGAGAGAGATTTCATCATCTTTGAGAAGACTGTTCTTCGCAGCAGAAGCCTAAAAGACAAGATTTCGCATCTGACCACTTTTATGTGTGTATACATATATCAGTTCATTTGTTCCTGTGTAGCCAGATAAACTGATCTTTCGACTCCTATCCTCCCTAAAAAGTATTCAAGAACACTACCAGGTATGTCTGTTGGAAAACAGCAGTGGTTCAGTGCAGGTACATCTTGTTCCAACAACGAACTCCTCCTTCAAAGTAATCTACAAGTTAATGAACAACCTACTAAAGACAATGCGACTTTCGTATCCTGTGTGTATGTGTCTAAAGCTCTTGGGGTATTCCAGCTAGAAAAATTGGAGCATGATGTACAAAAGAGAATTATTCACTTACTTCTTTTATTATGGTAAGAAGCTCGTTTTTTGGTTACAGGATTGCATCATGAGCTGACATCACTTTTAGAATCATTGGAAAACAAGCGGGGAGAGTACTGGACAGACAGTTGTTTCATCAGTCTAGCTCAAGACAGACTAACGCATCCGCACCACGGGTTTAGAACTCAGGAACTTCTGGTTGCGAGGCGAGCTGCCTCGTAGACCATTAGGCCACTCAATAGGACCCGCCAATCCAATGACCAGTCCATGAACTCCAACTTCTGGCATTTTGAACCCCGGTGGGTGTATACTGATAAAGAGTCACAAACTAGGGTGATGGGACAGCTGTCTAGTACTCCTGTTAATATAATATGTCTAGTACTCCCTGTAGGTTTACCAATGGCTCTCTAACCGATATCAGCTCATAATGAAGTCCTATAACCAATCAATCAAATACCTACAAACCAATACTTGTAATTAATTCTTTTCAACTCCTACGTAATATCACTCTTTCTTTCATTTTCATTAGGTAATGCTGTGGCATTTTCAACACAACGAAGAAAATCATCTAAATTGCTTCTCATTCGATAAGATATACAGTACACAACACAATAACAGTATGTCTGTGTGTGTAGGTGTGTGTATATAACTACGTGTAGTTCATTATCGCTAATTGAAAAATCCTTACATTTGATTGGATAAATTTTTCAGTGTGACACATCGAAGGCTATACATGTATACATGTCTATGTACATATTTCAACCAATCAAAATTCAGACAAAAATAACATGTAATAATATGATTGGTTAGAAGAAATAATTATCCGCAAATACATTTGTATATCTACTACACCTGTTTAGTCGGAAGCAAATTTCCGTTCACCAATTCCGCTGTTTGTTCTAGTGATTGATAATATTTGAAATAGAGAAAATATTAATTTTTAAAAATTAATATACCATACATTATTTATCTATTTATTTATCTATCCATTATCAATGAGAACAGGACTTTTAAATAAAAATTATTCAACATCTAGAATTGATCAAAATACTGAGGTAAGTCTTATCATTTGCACATATATATATTCCCGATATATGTATAAAACTTGAGCACTGTGGTGCAGTATAACTCCATTATAGATAAGATTTTATTTTGATAAAGTGTCACACAGTGTTGTACAGTAATATTTACTGATGACCACGTTTCGACCACAAATTATTGCCACTCATAATTGTATCAAGTCATTCACACAACTTTCTTGCTTCATTTATATACATGAGTAAAAAATGATGATTACACATTTGAATAAAATCAACGTAAGAAAAAGTACATTCAGAAATAATAATATGAGTGTTATCAATCAAGTACAGTCAGATGGGAAATAAGACGAGTGTTTTTATAGTCAAAATAAATAAGTAACTTGTTAGAATGTTGTGATGTGCCTGAATTGAAATAGAATTTTGAGATTATTTATTACCCTCTTCTAGTTTGACCAGCGGTAATAATATCTTCCATATTTCTGGTTGATTACCGAATCCTAGTTCACCGAGTCTACACCCAACACATGCAACAGAAATGACTCATTGCAAATACCAGAGATATGCATGGAAGATATTATTACCACCAGTCAGTCAGTCAGTCAAATCACAGGAGGATAATAAATAATCTTAAAATTCTATTTCAATTCACATACATTATAACATTCTAACAAGTTACTTATTTATTTTGACTATAAAAACACTCGTCTTATTTCCCATCTGATTGTAATTGATCAATAACGCTGATATTACTATTGTTCCTGAATGTACATTATCCTATATTGATTTTTATTCAAATGTCTAATCACCAATTTCACTCATGTATAAAAATGAAGGAAAAATGTGTGAGTGATTGACTTGATATGGTTGTGAGCGGTAATAAATTGTGCTCGAAAGGTGGTTATCAGTAAAGAAATATAACTGTACAACACTGTGTGACACTTTATCAAAATAAAATCTTATCTATAATGATTAGTATTCAACCGAAATTGAACGAGACAGAATTAACTTAATGAAAGTGGTAATCAGGGTGGAAATTTAATAAGGAGTGTGTTGAAGGAATAAAATAATACCATTAAAGAAACAAACAAGCAAGCATGAAAAAGATGAAACAAAAAGTTGTTTATTTAGTGTTAGGACAGATCAGGTTCATTGTAGATTTAATGACTGAAAAAACTTTCTCTTTTATTGTATGCAGAGTTCAGGATTTATCATGTGAATCGCCGCCATTACTGCTTCTACTCTGTTTGAAGAAGTTTGATCCATACTGTTTTGGCAAGAGTTCCACTTATTCTGTAGATGATAACTTTGGAGTTCCTTTGTGGGAAGGCATGCTTAGTGCTCAGAGTAGATCGATCAGGTGTTCCAGGATAGAGTTGCTGTGGTGGTGAGAGAGAATCTCTTTTCACCTTTATAAAACCATGACTAAAGATAAGTAAGTGTTCGATTATACGTTTGCATGTCGAACAATGAGTATTAGTTGACCTCTACTCAACCGCGTCAATTTCATTACGTACGTCAGTCAACTTATTTATTTTATTTTATTTTAGTTTCTTACCTATTAACGAAATTTTAATGTAGAATTTACAATTCCAATGATACATTCTTGGAAATATTGCTTTTATTGTTAAGACAATTTACTATACATGTAAATATGCGATTATACAGCTTGAAAATGACATAGGCGAAAAGACTGACTAATCGCTGAACGCGTTTTCTTATATATATATATATGGATACCGAGAGAGATGGTTTTTGAATTCATTATGAACGTCTAAATAGTCAGCAGATATATCATGTGACTTGAATGGTCTGGTGCTGAATCCCTCATGTGTTCCTTTTAATGGATACCTCCTGGGTTTTTTTATTTTTAATTTGATTACAGCTTAATACCACACAGTATTTTCGGTACAAGTATGACATTTTCAGCATGTGATATCGGTAGCTGAAATTTTGCAGACCGACCGTAGATACCGGGTGTGCATCAGCAGGGGATAGAACCCTGGACCATGTGCATGATCGGCGAGAGTCCTAACCACTGTACCACCGACGCTTTTTCTCCGCATCTATACATAAATATTCCAAGTGAAATTCATTGAAATTCGGTGTGATTGTATAGACTTCTAAGAAATCTTTCAGAATTCCACAGACTTAAAAAAGCAGGGCTGATTAGTGGTTCAATGACGGTTAATAATTTGCGTAATATCTTCATCCTCGTTTGCTTCTTCTTCAAGAGGAGTTTCCTTAACCGACTATAGACACTTCTTAGTATGACATCATTATTAGAGCTAGGAGGCTTATTGTTGAAAGGAGTTTTGTCTTCAAATAAAGATGAAACGACTCACTGTCTTGTTGGAAATCAATAACCAAGGTGTAATCGATAACTGACAATCAGTTTTAATCAATCATTTTGACCTACAGTTTGATAGAGGCAGATCCAGATGTCAATAGACGTATACTGCAATAGAATAGATGGTTAAACGTTTATGAATCCCAGGGAAACTCGACTGGTGAATCATAAAGTGAATCTACAGACCTTCATGTGTGATATCTACTTGTCATTTTCACTCACTGGATATAAAAGTGGGAGTGACTGTCTTCATAATGACATAGAGAAATACTATACTTTTAGATTTTCAGTTCTTCGGTATATTGTGAGAATGTGTCACGTGCGGGATGAAACGATATCAATTAGACGAACGCTGGCGATGATTTTATCTTAACTACAATGTCTCCAACCTGATTCTCCAGAGGCTTAAGCTGATGGCCTTGAGGTGACAATGCAAGTCCACTGATGATTTAGCTACAGGGTGGGAATCTAGTGACTAATGAATTCCTGATATGGAAGGTCAACTGCCATCCATTCTCACTAAACACTGAGAATTCCCTCCCAGATTCAGTCAGTATAATGCAAAATGCACTGATTTTTAAGTATTGATCTGTTGAGAATGACTGCCTTCAGATTAGATGTCGTCACGATTCACTTCCTTACCTTGATCAGGTTGTTGGTACACTCACACGCACGCAGACATCGGCAGTTGATCCTAAAATTGTAACGACATAGGGGTCTGGTACACCGCGATTTTGAATGGTTTTATAACTGATATCTGATCATGTCTCTATCAGCCGACACTGAAAAAAATTATTTTATTTTATTGAGAGGTTTCTTGTTGTCAGGGAATTGTATTAATTAGTGATGAAAAATAAGTAATATTGTATAAATTTATTCATGCCTTTATTATTATTATTATTCACTTGGGTTGGAAGTGGAACATACGGCTTCAGCAACACATATCCACTCCTCTCTGTTTTCTGTTGTCCTATTCAGCTGACTACTCCCATGATAGCTCATAATCTCTCATCTTCCCCTCCTCCTCCCCAACACACATTCTCCTTTATGTCACCCTCGCACTGCCGACTCACTCGTCGCTTCTCATCCAAGGTCCACTTGAGCAGTAACCTGCAGTGCGTTCGTAATCATTCAATCGTTGGCCTTCTAAGCGGCCTATACCCGATTGGTACATCTCCATTTTCTCCTAGGTATTTGTTGAGCGATCGGCTCTTCTTCGCTGTTTGGTTCGTTCACCGTCAGAGTTTCTTCTTGCTAATTCATTCTGACCAGCCAGTGGGACAGCCAGGCATTTAACCTTCAGTATGGAGCCAGCCAGAGAAGTGTCCAGCTGTAGATAAGAGTCTGTAGCTGGCTCCTGGAAATACTTCTTATGTCTGACTCACACACAGTGCAAGTTTCTCACCCGTATAGAAGATCTCACTGACTGACTGACTGACTGTCTGACTTGATATTTGTGTTGAATAGAATTCGAAACTATCTTACCCCCCCCATGCTGGCTGGCTGTTTCCCTGGCTTTGACATCTTCATCCGTGCTGTCCGACTGCCTGCCTGCCTGCCTACCTAGCTGCCTGTGTCTGAAACTGTACTGGCCTTCTAGCTGACTAGATAAGTGAGGGTAGGAAATAACCTGTGTGAAATCTCTCCCTCCCGTTGATGTTGACTAGTGCTTGTTGTTGTTGCTGCTGTCGCTGTTGTTGGTGGTTGATCGGTTGGTTATTTTCATCACCTCAGTTTCTACCTTCTTTATGTTCACCTGGAGTCAGTCCTGTCTTTGCTGTCTGCCTGGCTACCCGCCTCTTCAGCCAGTTTATTAGTTTTCGCCTGCCTCCCTGCCTGTGTGCCTGTAAGTTTTTGAGTTTGTGTGACTTGAAGGAAAAATTAACAAACTGGCTGCAAAGACAGGACTGACTCCAGGTGAACACAGAGAGGACAGAGGTGATGAAGATAACGAACCAACCAACCAACCAACCAACTAACTAGCAGTAACAGCAGATAGAATTAGCAACAAGAAACTCAGAAGTGTGGACAGATAATCCCGCCGAGGATTGGACTTATAACCATTGTCTATGGTAATCGTGGGACCAGCTAATCAGGACTGCACAGAAAAAGGATGAAGTGAACATGTTCATCTGGAAGCTCATCATCGAAAAGGACCTTAGCTAGTGACCATACTATGTCGTGCATGAATCGGCAGAAGTTAGAATTCACTCACTGACTGGCCACTTGGTAGGTGGGTCCCAATGAGTGGCTGAATGGTCTACGAGCTAGCTAGCTCGCTCGCTCGCCTTGTAACCAGAAGGTCATGGATTCCAGTCCTGTCAGTGAGGTGTGGGTGTTGGCTTTTCCAGTACTCCAAGGGTGGTGGCTTTCCAATGATTCTCTAACCAGTGTGTCGAATGATGATGAAATCCTTCAACCAATATATAATTATGAAGTTAACTAATTATATGATTATACAAGGTAGCATTTAAGGTCATAAGTGTACATACAGTACAGTTGCATATAGACACACAGAGACGCACACACACACACACACAGTGACACATACATATGGACATGCACACATATAAGACATTTAATTTATCAATAATGTCAACAGTACTCTCTCTCTTTCTGTTTTTTGAAATTTACACATTTTACTTTCATCTAAACTTGAGTTCTTAGC